CGTCCGTGAGGCTCACGCTCTCCCAGACTCACGTGTGTAAGTCTCACGCCCTCTCAGTGTCACGTCCATGAGGCTCACGCTCCCTCAGTCTCATGTCCATGAGTCTCACACCCTCTAAGACTCACGTCCGTTAGTCTCACGCTGTCTCAGTCTCACGTCCGTGAGTCTCACGCTCTCCCAGACTCAAATCAGTGAGTCTCACGCTCCCTCAGTCTCACGTCCATGAGTTTCACGCTCCCCCAGTTTCATGTCCGTGAGTCTCACGCCCTCTAAGCCTCACGTCTGTGAGTCTCACGCTGTCTCAGTCTCACGTCCGTGAGTCTCACGTGTATGAGTATCACACTGTTTCAGACTCACGTCCGTGATTCTCATGCTATCTCAGTCTCACATCCCTGAGTCTCACGCTCCCTCAGTCTCACGGGCGTGAGGCTCACGCTGTCTCAGTCTCACGTCTGTGAGTCTCATTCCCTCTAAGACTCACGTCTGTGAGTCTCACGCTCACTCAGTCTCACGTCCGTGAGTCTCACGCTCCCTCAGTTTCACATCCGTGAGTCTCAGGCTCTCCCAGTCTCACGTCCGTGAGTCTCACGCTCACATTGTCTCACGTCCGTGACTCTCACGTTCCCTTAGTCTCACATCTGTAAGTCTCACGCTCACTCAGTCTCACGTCCGTGTATCTCACGCCCTCCCAGTCTCAAATCCATGAGTCTCACGCTGTCTCAGTCTCATGGCCATGAGTCTCACGTTGTCTCAGTCTCATGTCCGTGATTATCACGCTCTCCCAGTCTCACGTTTGTGAGTATTACGCTCACTCAGTCTCACGTCCGTGAGCCTCACGCGCCCTCAGTTTCACCTCCGTGAGTCTCACGCTCCCCCAGTCTCACGTCCGTGAGGCTCACGCCCTCTCAGTCTCACGTTTGTGAGTCTCACGCTGTCTCAGTCTCACATCTATGAGTCTCACGCTCCCCCAGTTTCATGTCCGTGAGTCTCACGCCCTCTAATTCTAACGTCTGTGAGTCTCACGCTGTCTCAGTCTCACGTCCGTGAGTCTCACGTGTATGAGTATCACACTGTTTCAGACTCACGTCCGTGATTCTCACGCTATCTCAGTCTCACATCCCTGAGTCTCACGCTCCCTCAGTCTCACGGGCGTGAGTCTCACGCTGTCTCAGTCTCACGTCTGTGAGTCTCATTCCCTCTAAGTCTCACGTCTGTGAGTCTCACGCTCACTCAGTCTCACGTCCGTGAGTCTCACGCTCGCCCAGTTTCATGTCCGTGATTATCACGCTCTCCCAGTCTCACGTTTGTGAGTATTACGCTCACTCAGTCTCACGTCCATGAGTCTCACGCTACCCCAGTTTCATGTCCGTGAGTCTCACGCCCTCTAAGTCTCACGTCTGTGAGTCTCACGCTGTCTCAGTCTCACGTCCGTGAGTCTCACGTGTATGAGTATCACACTGTTTCAGACTCACGTCCGTGATTCTCACGCTATCTCAGTCTCACATCCCTGAGTCTCACGCTCCCTCAGTTTCACATCCGTGAGTCTCAGGCTCTCCCAGTCTCACGTGCGTGAGTCTCACGCTCACATTGTCTCACGTCCGTGACTCTCACGTTCCCTTAGTCTCACATCTGTGAGTCTCACGCTCACTCAGTCTCACGTCCGTGTGTCTCACGCCTTCCCAGTCTCAAATCCATGAGGCTCACGCTGTCTCAGTCTCATGGCCATGAGTCTCACGTTGTCTCAGTCTCATGTCCGTGATTATCACGCTCTCCCAGTCTCACGTTTGTGAGTATTACGCTCACTCAGTCTCACGTCCGTGAGTCTCACGCGCCCTCAGTTTCACCTCCGTGAGTCTCACGCTCCCCCAGTCTCACGTCCGTGAGGCTCACGCCCTCTCAGTCTCAAGTGTGTGAGTCTCACGCTGTCTCAGTCTCACGTTCGTGAGTCTCACCCTCCCTCAGTCTCACGTCCGTGAGTCTCACGCCCTCCCAGTCTCACGTATGTGAGTCTAATGCCCTCTCAATGTCACGTCCATGAGTCTCACGCTCCCTCAGTCTCACGTCCATGAGTCTCACACCCTCTAAGTCTCACGTCCGTTAGTCTCACGCTGTCTCAGTCTCACGTCCGTGAGTCTCACGCTCTCCCCGTCTCACAGGCGTGAGTCTCACGCTCCCTCAATCTCACGTCTGTGAGTCTCACGCTCTCCCAGACTCAAATCAGCGAGTCTCATGTTGTCTCAGTCTCACGTCCATGAGTCTCACGCTCCCCCAGTCTCACGTCCGTGAGTTTCACGCGCCTCTCAGTTTCATGTCCGTGAGTCTCACGCTCCCTCAGTCTCACGTCCATGAGTCTCATGCTCTCCCAGTCTCACGTCCGTGAGTTTCACGCTCTCCTAGTCTCACGTGTGTGATTCTCACGCTGTCACAGTCTCACATCCCTGAGTCTCACGCTCCCTCAATCTCACGTCCGTTAGTCTCACGCTGTCTCAGTCTCACGTCTGTGAGTCTCACGCTCCCTTAGTCTCACGTCCGTGAGTCTCACGCTCCCTTAGTCTCACGTCTGTGAGTCTCACGCTCCCTCAGTCTCACGTCCGTGAGTCTCACGCTCTCCCAGTCTCACTGAGCTCATTTCCCAAACAGGAGCGTTCCATTTTGTTGTAGTTCGAGCCCACGCCTCACTCTGTGAAGCCTGCGACCTGAGTTCGATTCACGGACCGGGTGCCAACGCCGGTGGCTCAGACGAGTTCAGATTCAGAATATGTATTAATGCAGGACGAATCTGATGAGCTATTAAGCTAATTTTCACTGATATCTGAACAGTTCCTGGGCAGATCACTCCCCCGCAAACTCTACCAAGCCATCACTGACCAGAATGGTGAAGTAAGGCTTTTTTGTATCGAAGTCACAGGGCAGCCTGTCTGGCGATTCTCACGTTAATCGCCTCTTCGCGCCTGATGTCACTTGCGATTTTAACTCCTCCGTTGATATTTATATTTGCATAAAGTACCCGGAACCGGGTTTTCATTCGGTTACCGGTAATTCGTAAACAAAAACTTATACAAAATGGGAACTTTTTTTGCCGGTTTCAAAATATTAAAATATAAAAATAAGTTGTACCCTTTTACGGCAATTAAAGGGGTGTTAAGAAGTTCAAACGCCGAAAGGAATCAAGTACTGCATTAACTTCACACAATCTGTGTGGTGGACATGCAAACAGACATGCTCTGATATATAATCAGTTTCAAAGACAATGCCTCTAATATTATCAGAGCATGATTGTTTGCATGCTGACCACAGGTACTGTGTGTAGTGGTGTTTGAATATCTGAACACCTCCTGTTTTATAGCCAGAAACAGGTAAACCAGATTCTTAATTGTTTCAAACAACACAGACGATGACTCCCTCGAGATGTCCGGCACTGGACCGTACGGCCTACTGAGAGGTGTACCTGACATGGCCGCCAGGTGGCGGTATTGGCTCAGGTATGCTGATGATGACAGTGTCGGTGGTGATGGTGATGATGCTTCTACTGCTGATGCGCAACTTGTTCATGGTGATGGTGGCGGCGTTGGTAACGGTGGTGATGATGGTGATGATGAAGATGATGGTGGGGGCGATGATGATGGTGGGGGTAATGATGATGGTGGAAGTGATGATAGTGATGATGATGATGGGGGTGGTGATGACAGTGATGATGACAGCGATGATGATGGTGCGGGTGACGATGGTGGGGGGTGATGATGATAGTGATGATGGGGGTGATGATGATAGTGGGGGTGATGATGATAGTGGGGTGATGGTGGAGGTGATGATAATAGTGGTGATGATGATGATCGGGGGTGATGGTGGTGGTGATGATGGTGCTGATGGTGGGGGTGATGATGATAGTGATGATGATGGTGGGTGTGATGATGATAGTAATGATCATGGTGGGGGTGATGGTGGAGGTGATGATAGTAGTGGTAGTGATGATGGTGGTGATGGTGGTGGTGATGATGGAGGTGATGGTGCGGGTGATGATGGAGGTGATGGTGGGGGTGATGATAGTGTTGATGATGATGGGGGGAGGGGGGGGTGATAGTTTTGGTGATGGTGGTGGTGATGAAGATGATAGTGATGGGGGTGGTGATGGTGGTGGTGATGAAGGTGATGGTGGAGGCGGTGATGATTGTGCTGGGGGTAGTGATGATAGTTTGTGGTTCCATGTGAAATCCTATGGGTCTCATTTGAGTACAGTACACATATCGATGTCTATCTCAGTATGTGTCTGAGAGTCCGTGGGTCTGTTTGTAACTCTACGGGTCTCTATGCAAATCCATGGGTCTCCGTGTCAACCAATAGCACAGTGCGACGGCGGTGGCGACACTCCTCGTTTCACTGCCAGAACCGCGTGGGGTTCCATTCCCGACTCGGACGTCTCCCTGTGTGGAGTTTGTAGCCCCCAGTGGCGGAGTGACCACAACATCAGCCCAGGGGGTGGTGCGACGATCAATCACGGGCCCCCCCCCCCCCCGGGTGCCCCCCCCCCGGGTGCCCCCCCCCGCCGCCTGCCGTGCCCACCTCCTCCCACATGGATCAGCGACGCTGGGGACAAACAGCGTCGGGATTGTCACTCGGGTTGTGCGGAGATGGAGAACGGGCTGAGGACGCCCGTTGCATCCCCTCCCCTCTCTCCTCTCTCTCCCCCCGCCCCCTGTATACGATCAGAGGAAACAAGATGATGATGATGATGATGCTCGGTGTAGTCGGCACTTTGCTTCGTTCATCATTTAGTTTTTTTTTTAATGCTTTGCTTTATGTAACCCCCCCCCCCCCTTTTAAATGGAAGATTTTACAAAATATTTCTCGCTCTGCTCTCCTTACCCCTTCCCTCACGTGGGCTTTATTCATACTTCAAGACAAAACTGAATGTCACAGACTGCTGGTAAAATATTGGACGCATTTTGCAACATTATTGCATTTTACTGTTGACGATATAAAGTTAACTCCAGAAGTGACAGCATCTCCTTCAAAGGAGAACTCCAGCTGATCTCAACTGCCAACAATGATGTTGTTGATGAGAATATGGATGAGTTTCACGACGAAGCCGATGAAGCCCATGATGGCAAAGCCAATTGCCGTTGCTATTGCCATCTTCTGAAACTCCTTGCGGTCGGGCTTTGTGCAGCGATTCACGAGCCGGATGGAATCCGTGGCGAACTGCCTGCAGGGCTCCACGAATGTCATCACCTGGTCCATGATGGATTCGTCTTAACCTGGCCCGAGCTTCAGAGTCACTGCGTCTCTCTCTCTACCCCCCTCTCTGCCCCCCCCTCTCTCTCTACCCCCTCTCTTCCTACTCCATGTCGCTCTCACTCTCTCGCTTTTTTTAATTACGAAAAGTGCTGCATCTGCACGCAAACCCTTCCCACAGTCAAACGGCCTCCGACGGGTAGCTCATATCTCTCCCCTCTCTCCTCCCTGCCCTCTCTCCCCCCTGCCCTCTCTCCCACCTCCTCTTTCTCCTCTCTCCCCCTACTCTCCTCTCTCCTCTGCCGCCCCTACCCCCTGCACTTCACCCCCTCCCCTCTCTCCCCCCTGCCCTCTCTCCCACCTCCCCTTTCTCCCCGCTGCCCTCTCTCTCCCCATCCTCCCCTCTCTCTTTTTGTTACGATCAGAGGAAACAAGAAGATGCTCGGTGTAGTCGGCACTTTGCTTCGTTCATCATTTCGTTTTTTTTTAATGCTTTGCTTTATGTAACCCCCCCCACTTTTTAAATGAAAGATTTAACTCTCTCACTCTCTCTCGCTTTTGTATAACTACGACAAGTGCTGCATCTGCACCCAGCCCTTCCCACAGTCCCACGGCCTCCGACGGGTAGCTGAGATCTGCACGCACAGAGCTCTCTACCGTCATCTGCCACCGACCAGACGGCCTCCTCCAGCGCCCACTGCTCCTTGAAGGCCGGCACGGCGTGGGTCAGCCGCGCACGGCAGAACTCCGGCCACACCCTGGCTCCGACCAGAGCACGGAAGATGCCCAGGCTGCTGGCCGGACGTTGCCCCTTCAGGGCCACCTTCCTCGCCCTGTGTATGGCGAGCTTGGCGTAGCCGAAGAGCACGTTGACCGGCCCCTGAAGATGTTGGGGTCCGTCGCCCTTCGGGTATCCGAAGATGAGGACCGTCGGGGAGAAGTGGAGGCTGAACCTTATCAGGATGTTTCTCAGGACCTTGAACAGCGAGTCCAGGTTCTTGCACTCCACTTATTGGTGCGCCACCATCTCCACTTTACCGCAGGACCGGCACTCCGGGGACGTGTCGGTGAAGCGCGCCAGGGAGGCGTTGGTGGTGACGGTGCCGTGGGCGATGCTCCAGCTGAGGTCGCCGATGCGGTTGTACGTCGAGCTGAAGTAGAGTTGCCTCCAGCGAGGCCTCTCCGGAGAGATGCAGGGCAGGGCTCTCCTACAGGCATGGTCCTTGTGGCTCCTCAGGGTGTCCTGTTGGTGGAACCGGACCATGTAGGAGTAGAGCACCTTCCTATTTCCTCCCTCGCCCCTGACCTCTCTTCCCCCACCCCCTATCTCGCGATAAGCGCGAGGCCGCATTAAGGAGCCGATAGAGTGGAGCGGACAGCAGAAGCAGCAGCTGTCAATAGCGAACCACGGGGTCGCGAGGCGCTCCCTCCCTCCCTCGCTCGCTCCCTCCCTCCCCATCTCCCCCCTCCCTCCCTCTCCCCCCTCCCTCTCCATTCTCCCATTTTTCTCTCTTCCCATCCTCACCTCCCCCCCTCTCTTTCGCTCTCTAATCATAGCTCTCAGTCTCTTTCCTTTCCATTCCCTCTGCCACTCCTTTCTCCATCTCCTTTGTCATCTCTCTCCCTCTCCTCTCTCGCTTGCCGCTCAGTCACCGTCTCTATCGCTCCCTCTCACCGTCCCCACCTTCGCTAGGCCCCTCTCTCTTGTACCAATCTCCTCTCCCACCTCTTCCCCTCCCAGCCCCTCTCGCTTCTCCCTCTGCCTGGCTCGCTCTCTCCCTCATCTCCCCCCCCTCCTCTTTCTCATCATTTTACTCTCACTTTCCTCTCTCTGAATCACTCTCCGTTTCCTTTCCTCTCCCCGTGTATCCCTCCACTCCCCCTGCCATGGAGCTGTGCGCAGATTTGCAGTGTTAGCCGGGTGGAATTTGTGGTAGTGGTAGTTGTGGTGATGGTAGTGTAGTGGTCAGCGCTACGCTGCGCTATGAACCTGGCGACCCCAGTTCGATTGCCGCTCACGGCCAACACCGGTGACGATCATCTGAACCGGTCCTGGGCCTCCCGTAGGTAGACTCAGACTCAAAGGAGTACAGTACCTGGGTGCGGTGTGTAAATATTGTTCTCCATCGCCAATGGTGGTAATCATATTCTTGGTTCTTTCGGTAAAATCACGTAGATAGAAAATAAAAAAATAAATAAAAAAATAAATTGAAAATAATACAAGCAAGTGGTAATCACGTGGCCGTGGTGGTAATAACGTGGCGGTGGTGGTAATCACGTGGTGGTGGTAATCACGTGGTGCTGGTGGTAATCACGTGGCGGTGGTGGTGATGACGTGGCGGTGGTGGTAATCACGTGGTGGTTGTGGTAATCACGTGGCGGTGGTGGTAATCACGTGGTGGTGGTAATCACGTGGTGGTGGTAATCACGTGGCGGTGGTAATCACGTGGTGGTGGTAATCACGTGGCGGTGGTAATCACGTGGCGGTGATTATGACGCCGTCAGCGAGGCCGCGTGCCTGCTCGATGCGCCTGATGATGGATGCCGCCCTCGAGTTCACTGTGGCTCGAGTGGTGGGAGCCCGAACCCAACAGGAGTGGTAGGGGGGGGGGTTTGGTGGTGGTGGTGGCGGAGGTCGCGATGATTATTACTCCCAGGGGGGCAGCGGGCGGTGGTGTTATGTGGGGGGGGGGGGGGGGGGGGGGGGGGGGGGCTGGAGGGTAAATGGATGTTTACCGCAGTCTCCGCACGGGGAATTCCCATGGTGCTGGTAACCGCTGCCAGATTGAAATGTCGAGGATATCAGAGGCGATGTTTACGTAAGAAGAAGTGGCGTGGGGGTGTCCCGCTTCCTCAGTCACCATTGGCGCTCACGCATTTACAACGAAGGCAAAAGATCCCCCCGCCTCGCCTTCACAGACTAGCTGAGACAAGTGCTGTTAGCGAGTAGCACCCACGAAGAAGAGCATGGTACAACCACGCCCGGCCGCCTTTGTCTCCCCAGTGGAGATGTTTACACACCGCACAAGGTACTACATTTGAGGCTGAATCGACGTAGGTGGTGACCGCGTCCATCATGGATGCGCAGGACCGGTTCAGATAATCTTCACCGGTGTTGGCCGTGAGGGGGAGTCGAACTTGGGTGGCCGGGTTCGTATCGCAGCGCGCTCACCGCTACCCCACCGCTCACACACACACACACACTCCATAGAACAGAGGGAGACTGTACAAACTCCACACCCGCTTCGGGAATCGAACCTGGGCTTGCTTCTCACCACTGCACCACCATCACCCTGCCAGCCATCCCGCACATTTACACGCACGGTCCGTGAATGTCGACAACTGAAGTTGTTGAATCGACCCCTGCGTGTTAGCTGCTAAAGACAGACACGGGGGAGACATTGAGATACGGCGATATACAGACGCGAGTGGATATAGCGGACACATCGAAATGGGGACACCGAGACACAGATACATAACTACTAAACTGTAAAATAACTTTTGTTATTTCAGCAGGTAAGGCCCCACTGAGCGACGTAGTTATTTTCCAGAAGCGAGCTGGCCACAATGGATAGTGACACGAAGTGGCTCATCATCACGTGGACATTATTGCAGCCACGGGAAGAGAGAGACACGCAGACTCGAAATATACAGCAGCAGCAGAGGTCAGGGTCGGGATCGGGATCGAACCCACGACCTCCTTTATACCAGGCGAGGTAGTTAACATCTCGCCACCCCAGCGGGACAACGGAGACACGTGGAGACACAATGACACCGGGAGACACGTGTAGACACAGTGACACGGGGAGACACATTGAGACACAGTGACACGTGGAGACACAGTGACACGTGGAGACAAAGTGACACGTGGAGACACAGTGACACGTGGAGACACGTGGAGACACAGTGACACGTGGAGACGCAGTGACACGTGGAGACACAGTGACACGTGGAGACACAGTGACACGTGGAGACACGTGGAGATACAATGACACGTGGAGACACAGTGACACATGGAGACACAGTGACACGTGGAGACACAGTGACACGTGGAGACACGTGGAGACACAGTGACACGTGGAGACAAAGTGACACGTGGAGACACAGTGACACGTGGAGACACGTGGAGACACAGTGACACGTGGAGACACAATGACACGTGGAGACACGTGGAGACACAATGACACGTGGAGACACAGTGACACGTGGAGACACAATGACACGTGAAGACACAGTGACACGTGGAGACACGTGGAGACACAATGACACGTGGAGACACAGTGACACGTGGAGACACAGTGACACGTGGAGACACGTGGAGACACAGTGACACGGGGAGACACATGGAGACACAGTGACACGTGGAGACACAGTGACACGTGGAGACAAAGTGACACGTGGAGACACAGTGCCACGTGGAGACACGTGGAGACACAGTGACACGTGGAGACACAGTGACACGTGGAGACACTGACACGTGGAGACACGTGGAGATACAATGACACGTGGAGACACAGTGACACATGGAGACACAGTGACACGTGGAGACACAGTGACACGTGGAGACACGTGGAGACACAGTGACACGTGGAGACAAAGTGACACGTGGAGACACAGTGACACGTGGAGACACGTGGAGACACAGTGACACGTGGAGACACAATGACACGTGGAGACACGTGGAGACACAATGACACGTGGAGACACAGTGAAACGTGGAGACACGTGGAGACACAATGACACGTGGAGACACAGTGACACATGGAGACACAGTGACACGTGGAGACACAGTGACACGTGGAGACACGTGGAGACACAGTGACACGTGGAGACACAGTGACACGTGGAGACACGTGGAGACACGTGGAGACACAATGACACGTGGAGACAGAGTGACACGTGGAGACACGTGGAGACACAGTTACACGTGGAGACACAGTGACACGTGGACACATTTGGAGACACAGTGACACGTGGACACACGTGGAGACACAGTGACACGTGGAGATACAATGACACGTGGAGACACAATGACACATGGAG